GCCTCTGCGTCAGGTCAGTGATGAGGACTCTAGGACCATAGTGGAGAGGGAGAGCCCAGGAAGACAGGACACCCGAGCAGGGACTGGGGATGGAGGGACAGAGGCCAAGCTTGGAGAGATTCCTGGGGAGCAGCTGCAGGTATTTTACTACATCTGTTGTGTATTATTCTACCAGATGGGGAAGAGTGGACAGCTAGACAGGAAGCTGAATAGGCCTCCAGTTGGAGAAGTCGGCGAGGCGGCCCTTGATCTGGACCAAATCTGGGGATGGATGTCCCACACACTTTGATGTTAGGGTAACTTACAGTGTCCTGAACATGGCACACAGCGGTGAGATAAGCCAGCTATGATAATGACAAGCTTGCGTTTGCATAAGTGAGGCTCAGGATGTGCAGGCAATACTCTCAAGCATGCGTAAAAACCAGGGCCCCCGTACGAGTTTCCTGTTTCTTGATCTCCAGCCTCAGACGCGTTCCCACACACCCAGAGGCATCCAGGAAACAGATTCATTTGCTTAAATATTTATGTGCTGTATTTCTTAAAACAGAACGTCTAAACCAGTGAAGTCTGGATGAATCTGGTCTGGATTCTGCACAGCACTGGAGGTCGAGGAGGAGAAAAGGTAAAGGGCTGTCCATAGTGATTTGGGGTGGGGCTCTGTCCCCTGGCACCAGCGGGGCATCTCCTGTATTAAAGACTCCTCGGGTACAAGTAGAGCCATGTTTGAGGACTCGACTTCCTGGCAGGTGCAATCTACCCATCCCACCCTCGTCTCCACTGTCAGCACACACCAAGTCTTAAGGCTGACTTCAAATACCATTTCACATTTCCTCCCCCAGTAAATCGCTGCGGGAACAGCAAACACACAGCAACTTGATGAACAAAGGGTAAGAATACAATAAAATTTTCCAGTTATTATCTACTCCTTATGGGAGAGGCTCTGAACTGGCTGCCAAGAAACCTGTGAGCCTCATACCCCGAGGGCTGAGTACACTGGGACGGCAGAGACCCTGGGGTATGGCCCTGAGACCATCCTCCTTGGGAAGGAGGCTGTGTTAGTAGCCGATTACATCCCCCACTTCATGGACACCAATTTCCTGCAACGAGCCAGGGGCTCATAATTTTTGGGATGAGTACCAACGGGTAAATAGCTGTTGTTGCAGAATCTCAGTTGATTTTATTTTGCTCTTGGCACTGTGGGCTAGGACGGTGAGGAGGGAGCCCGGGAGGATGGATTTAATTAGCAAGATGAGCCTAGTGCCTGCTAGGATCGCTTCTCAGAACGCACAGAACAGCCACGGTCACAGTTTTCCTCTGAGGGAGGAAGAAACCAAAGCCTGGGGAAAATGAAAGGCCATGGTGGCAATGTGGGATCAGAAAATAGGCCAATTACAGGGGGCGCCTGGGTGGCTCAGCTGTTAAGCCTCCGACTTTGGCTCAGGTCATGATCTTGTGGTCCTTGAGTTCGAGCCCTGTGTTGTGCTCTGTGCTGACAGCTCAGAGCCTGGAGGCTGCTTGGGAGTCCCTCTCTTGCTTCCCCTCTCCTGTCTCTCTCTCTCTCTCTCTCAAAAATAAATGAACATTAGAAGAAAAATTTTTTAAAAAGATAAACAAATTACAGAATCTTTACCCTTTGTGGTAGCCAATCTCCAAGATGGCTCCAGATGACCACTGCCTCTGGGTATTCGCCAAGTGTTTGGCTCCCACAGTGACTAAGGATGGGCTGTGTAACCAAGATAATGGTTCTGGATGTTAAAGAAATGATGGAGTTTGACTTTCAGGAGTAGGCTGTAAATGGCACCATACCCTCCCTGCTTTGTGCTCTCTTGGGTCTCTTGTTCTGAGGGAAGCCAGCTGCCATGTCACGAAGACACTCAGGCGGCACTCTGGAGAGGTCCATGTGGCAGGGACAGGAGGCCTCCTGCCAACAGCCAGCGGTCACCTTGCCACCCACGTGGCTGAGCCACCTTGAAGCACTCCCCCCAGCCCCAGTCAAGCCTTCAGATGATCACAGCACCAGCCAGCATGTTGACTACAACCTCAAGAGACACTGAACTGGAACCACTCAGCTAAGCTGCTTGCAGACTCCCGACCCACAGAAATATACGACCCATGAGAGGTCGTATATATTTGTTGTTGCTTTGTATCACAGCCTATGGTGTAATATATTTTGCAACAAACAGATCGCTCATACATCCCGCCAAGTGTACCAGCCTATCTGCTTCCACAAGAAACCCACTTTGTCCCGCAGGGGAAGCCTTGTCAGAGTTTCTTAAGTAAATGATCTTCCCCTTGCTAGCGTATCCACACCTCCTGATATCAATATCCCTGGCAGAGGCAGAAAGCTGCCGTTCTGCTACACTTCTGCATCATCCTCAACCACCGTAGCAAAGGAAACACACGGCATGCGTATATACCAACGTTCACACACACAGAGCTTTCTTTTAAGCCTGAAAAAATCACTCAAGCACTGGCAGTATGAACTTTTTTCCAGGAAGGACCGGATGCTCTGGATGTTTTAAGTACCATTTATTCATGCTATCTCTGCACAGACAGATGGAGGGGGGCAGTGTAGGAGGGTACAGCTGACTACTGAGAATTGATAGATGTCTCTCTTCTCCTTTGCTAGTCATAAAATTCTGAGCTGTGTGAGGACCAGCAGGTAAGGAAAGCCACTGCCATTAGTCCATGCGTTCCTGCATTCATTTAAATATTTCCGAATGGAATTTTCCCCTTTACTAACTTTTCCCCATCCTGTTTAACTCCCTGGGTGAGGAGGAGTGTCTTTAATAAGACAAAAAAAGCACAGACACTTTGTGAGCATAATAGCATGTCCGATGTAGGGGAGAGGCAGTCAAGATACAGAGGGAAATATTTCCTTGCTGTGTAGATGCTCTGCTATGAAGAACCTGGATGATATGAGGCCTCTACTTAAGGTGCAGATTAAGAACCTGGAGCTTTGTGCCCTCCAGGATGGATGCTCAGAGCCTAGAAGGGTACAGGGGGCCATGAAGGCAAGGGCAAAGGGCAGAGAGAACACTTAGAGAGGGGAATAAAGCAGAGCAGAGAAGCAGGGAAATCAGGCAGAGAAGGAGCTCCTGAATGTCCATCCAGGATGAATCTGCAGGGGCTGAAACATGGCCTGGTGGGAACCAAGGTTCTCCCATCTTCTTAACTAGGTATTCATTTTTTATTTCTGTCAAGGGCCTCTACCTGTCTGTCCTCCTGAGTGTTGGGTCATATCTGAAGGCTTCCATCAGCACGGAAATATTCACATCACACGGCAGGTAGAACCATGAAGGGCCTTCTCCAGGAGGAGTCAGGACTGATCATGACCACAGATGGGGGAGACAATCTGGGGATGCAGCTCTTGTGTCTCGCGCCCTTGGATGTCCTCCAGAACCAGGCCCTGTCTCTCTGCTCATCTTCCTTTATGCAACCTCTCTTGGTGAGCTCATCCTCGCCTATGATTTCACCCACCAGCTCTGATGAATGGCAAATCTGGCTCCTTGTCCACGATCCACCCCTGACCATACATGTGCGTGGACTTGCCTTCCTCTCTTGGTTGTCTGACCCCCTCCTTACACTCAACATGTCCAGCTTAGGATTCAATTCCACACAAAGACTTCTTTTCTCCATGACCTTATCCCTGACCTTGGGATCATCTCAAGGCTTCTCTTTGCTCAGTTCCTAAAACCATTCAGCCAATGGGGTCTGAGGTCTTTCTCTTCAAACCATACCTTCATTAGGATCAATGACTATCCTGCGCTCACTGCCTCCACTCTATTCAAACGCATCGTGACTGGCCTGGAATGCTCTTTTTACTTCTTTGTCACTTACTCCCTGCCACATTTCAAAGTTTTCACCTCCTGAAGCCTTATCTGACCCCTCAAGACCACATTTGTCTCCATTCTGGAAGTTTTATTCATTCTACTCAAAAATTAGCTATGGAAGGTCTATAGTGAACAATGTGCGAGGTGCTGAGGGCACAAACAGTGAAGTGTCAGGAGATAAGCCTCGTAACCATCACACCAGGCACCTCTCCTTTGTTTTCTCGCTCTTAATTGTGTCTCCCCAGTCAAATTCTTAAAGAGCCAGGTCTATGTCTTAAATGCCTTTTGTGAACCCATGGCAACAGACCATGGGGCACATAGCATGTTCTTATCAAGGGCCTGTTCATTATATGCAAGATGGTGATAGGAAAAGACCAGAGACACCTGTCAACTGCAGTGTTTTCCTAGATTAGAGAATTATCTCTGTTTAAGAAAAAAAAGCACATCAAGAAATTAAAAAAACCATACTCTATTGCAGTAGTGTTTTACACGTCAAACCAACAACTCAACTTCACTTGACAAATTATTTGACTCAAATTTTAAAAACAGTGGTTGATAACCCATTTCCCAAATTCCATAATCATGAACTGATAGTCATATCATATGATTAAAGAACTAATATGAAAATGATCTGTAGCACTTTCATAGTGGAAAGGTAGATACTTGAAATGTCTGAAGAGATTTTACGAGACAGAAGTAAGAGCAAATTGAGAAGCATTGAACACAAATTCTTAGATGAAATCATTCCGTGCTGGTAAGGAAAGGGAACTGATAGGGCCTGAACACATGAAGCAATCCTGCCACCCTCTCAGCAAGGATGTGTTGGAACAGGGCTCAGGCAATACCAATGGTATCCTTTCTACGTGTCCCCAGGGGGAAAAACATATTTGTGAATCAGACATGGAGGAATGTCATTTCCTCCAAATGTAAACAAAGACAAAATTACAGAGCTATTTCACTCATCCAAACCTTGAGTATCATTTTGATTCTTTGTTTGAGGACCTGCTATGGCCTTCTACTTAGACATCCAGTTCAAGGAACATATGTCAGTCCAGCCCAGAGGAGACCTTCACAAGCTGAACAGCAGCTCAAGGATTCAGATTCAAACGTTAGTCCCAGGCTCATGTTTACTGTCAAATTTAATCTTTTAAAAAGAGGCGTACTCACCTGCCAGAAAATGCTGTCTATTGTGTTTCCAAGAAAACCATCGCGACCTTCCGAAGACACCAGTTTGGGGCCAAGAATGGTCATGAATTCATCAAAATCCACCTGGCCATCCCCTGGAAGGAGAAAATGTAAATATGAGTTGAAAACGAGTGGAAATTAATCTGTTGTTCCCAATGAAATAAACAACACCATGCTTTTCTTCTTGGCATGATCTCAATCAATGAAGAGCTGGTAGCATTACTGAAATTTGTCCAACATTCTTAAAATTCCAAAGGGAACACAAGAAACTGGCAATATTAGTACATCCAATCCCACATATTCCTAATTATTTGTCAGTATTGCTATAACTAAATGCCCAACCAGTACTCCCCAGCTCAATGGACACCATTACACCGGCTGTACCCTCTGGACCTCAAATTGCCCAGATGTACATGATAGAAATTGCAGCTTCATCCTTGTCAGCTACATAGAAATTTATATACCAAGTATTACACTTCTTCCATACCTGCGCCTGCTCTATCATCCTTGTTCATGTGATTGCTAGTCCCCTTCTGAAGATTATGGTAGGAAAATGTTTCCAAGAATTAATGTCCCTAGTTATAATTATAATGTTATTACTGGGATAGCTGTTTGCCCCACACTCTTACCTCCACACCGTCTCCTATACAGTTCTGGGTTTACTCCATCTCAAAACATAAATGATCATGCTTTTTAAACATCGATGCCATCTTTTTTTAAATGTTTATTTCTTTTTTTGGGGGGGGGGAGGAGGGGCAGAAAGAGAGGGAGACACAGAATCCGAAGCAGGCTCCAGGCTCTGAGCTGTCAGCACAGAGCCTGACGCGGGACTCAAACTCTAATCATGAGATCATGACTCGAGCCGAAGTCGGACGCTTAACTGACTGAGCCACCCAGGTACCCCAACATCAATGGCTTCCTTATTTTTGGTGAAAGAATACACTATGGCATTCAAGTCCCTCTCTCCCTTTCGCTGCCTTTTGTTCCCCGCCTCTGCACAAAATGCCGTGCTCTCTCAGAACCTCATGCCTCTGTTCATGCTGTTCCCTCCACCCAGGACGCTGTCCCCCACTGGTCTACCTGGCACTTCATTCTCTATGATGGAGCTTAAATATCACATTCTCTTTTTGTTCTTCTTTCTGACCCTCAGCTCACGGACAGCGTTGGCCAAACTCACTTCTGCTCTCCTACTCCCACAATGCATCTATCACAGCCCTATCTGCCTGTGTCCCAGGCACTAGTTTGTATGCCTATTTCCCACCTGCAACGTAACCTCTGCAAGGTCAAGGACCTGGCCTGAAACTACTTTGTATATTCTACATACTGGCAGGTACTCAGTATGTACTTTGAGAATGAATGCATATTTCTTGCTTGTTTTTTTCTTTGCTCAGTTCAGCATCTTTCCTGCAAGATCTGACCGTGTCCACCAAAGGGTGGACTTGAGCCAGCTTAGACAAAAGCAGACCTTCAAGGCATTGTCTGAGCCCCGGTGACTCATCAGTGTGACATTTGGCACCCTTAGAACTGCTCAAGGGGGCATCTCTACCAAGAGCTCTCCACATGTTCGCCCAGCTGGTGTTGACGTCCCAGGTGTCTGCACACAAGTTTGGCAAAGTGCGGACACATCAATCCATTCCCAGAGGGCAATCACCTTCAAAGAGTCCTCATTCCAAACCTATTTCAAAAACCTGAGCAGATGTCATTATCAAGATGCCAATAATTCTGGAAAAAAAAAAAAAGTCTGGAAACAGATTGGGGTGTAGATAAAACACCCTAGGGGGTAAGGGAGGAGTGGAGAGTCAGTGGGAAAGGAAAAGATTTAGTACCAAATGGGTCCAACAGTCACTGGCTACTGGAGGAAACTAATTGACTTCTCACGCTTCAACAAAGACAGAGACATCTAAAATCCCACCCTCACTGGTCATCATGAGAAGGCTAATTCAAGCAGCGATGAGTTACCATCTTACCTTTCAAGTTAGCAAAGGCTTCTAGAATGTTGGCAGAGATACAGAGAAGAGGTAGGCTCTCTTGTGCTTCCCTTGTACAGTCATCCTGGACACTGACTGACAGTATTTAAGATGCTGTAACATGCTGAATCCTTTTGACCTAATAACTTCACTTTTTAAAGAGAAATATAAGGCAAGGAGACTTAAATGCAGACCAACATATTTGCCCCCAAATAGTCATCCACTATTTGTGAACGTGGGAAATTGGAAGCTATAGGAAAAGAAGGGCCCAGTCTTCCTGGCAATCACACTGCATTTGGCTCCAAGTCTCAGGAAGAGGCGCACTCATTATCCACCTGCATTGACCCTCTGCTCACCCCAAGTCGTCCCTGCTAGTCTGGTGCTAGATGGCTGAAAAGTCTCAGACTAGAATATGCCTTCTCTATAGAAATGGTATCACCCTCGATAAGGTGAAAATGGATTCCTAGGAGACAATTTAGATACTACGATGGTCTGTGGCCCTCCTAGGGTCTTAGCACATAAACAGATGTATAGTATATCTGTGCTATTAAAATCTTATGGGGAAAGGCACCAGGGAAATAAATGCCTTAAAAGGCTCCTGGTCATGGGGTGGCTCTAAAGAAGGAGAAAGAGATAGAAGAGGGGAAGGAGGAGGAAGGGGAAAAGGAAGAAGAGGAGAAAGTGGAGGAAGAGGAGGAAGGGGCTGAGGGGCGAGGTCCAGAAACAGAAACAGTGGACAAGAAGATGCCCCAAGTACCATGGTCCCTCCTTCTGGAATATTCTATTAGCACTGGGCATCATCCCAACTGTCTGTCACCCGAGGCGACATCTAACAGTTCACAAAGAAGCTCAAGGGCATGGATCATTGTTTTTTACGAAGCCCTATGACCTTAACTAAAACATGTTCACCAAGCTGGGTCACGCAAGCTCCTGGCCACAGGGTCATTGAGAACTGCTTTCTCTCACTTGATAGCCTAATAGGGGGTGGCCCATAGGATGTGGCCGAGCACCTGATTCTCAGAGCCAGGAGAGCAGGGCTGTCTTTGAACAGTCCACCTTCCGGGTAGAAGGAAAGAGACCATTCACCTCTCCGAAACCTCCCATCCCCCATAGGGCGATGGGAGTGTGGCAGTGCAGAGCTGGTATGTTTCAAGGGTCTAAATGGAATTGTGGCCAAAGTCATCAGGGAGGCTTCACAGATGGTGCCCTTGGCTCTGAGCACCGAGCCCCAAGCTGACAAGCAGAAACAACAGCCTCCGGGAAGGAAGCAGCCCATCCACTACTCAAATCCTTGGCCAGAGAGAATGTTCTGGGGACAGGGTGAGTATGGTCCTACGGGCAGTGCTAATTCAGTACAGAAATACAGGTGGAGCATCACAGACTTTCGGTGACTTGGAGGAGAGGTCCAGTTCATGGGAGAATTTGCATTTAAGAGATGCTATTTAAGAGATGACATTGCAACCTCAGATTTTTTTGTGATCAAAATACGATCCTCTTTCCCCCTCCTCCCCTCCCCCCTCTTTTTTTTACTGTTATGGAGCAGAGGGAGATTTCTGCAAGCCCACACGTTGCAGAAACAATCGAGGTGGGGCCCCCATAACTCTTAGGAGTTTTTTCAGCTTTGGCTCCTGAGTATGTGTGCATAGCACATTTTCCGTAGACCTGCTGGAAATGAAGACCTCTCCTCGTAATGCGCAGCTCAGCCCCAGTCTGACCAGTAGTACAAAGTTCTATTAAGATTTAGACTGAGGAAAAGGTCTCTTCAGCAGATCCTGGTTTAACGGACAAACAGAACTGGGAACACCCCATAAGCTATCAACAGCGCTTCCAGAAGTGTGGTTCCCCACCTCCCCACCCCCCACTCCAACCATCCCAGGAAAACTGAGACAAACAGAATCTCAGAGGAAAGTTTTTCATTAAGTCTCTTATACGAAAACCATTCCCAGGAAGGAGCAAGGTCTGGAAAGTCTGATGATCAAAATATAGACCTTTTCCTGAGCACTCACACAGTGGTGGGCATTGCTTACAGAAATTTCCATACGCTAGTTCACTGAGGTCTTCCAGCAGCCCATTTCACAGATGGGGAAACTGAGGCACGGAGCGGGTCAGTATCTCGCAGAAACTCACAGGGAGATCCCAGGGAGCAGATCTGGGATTCCACTCTGGGAGTGGACTGATGTATCTACACTTTGACAAACTGTGTGCAGACACCTGGGCCTCCTCTGGGGAAGAAGGGCCGCAGCTAGGCTCTGTCTAGAACATTCTTTCCCCTGACCCCAGTACTGCCTGGCAGGGTACATAGAGGCAAGATGAAATCAAAATTGCTCCCTCTGGTCTAGCTAATGGCCTTCCGGTCAACCACTAGAGGTCTTTCTTAACGAGCCTCAAAAAGAGCCACAATAAGTAAGAGGAAGTATTTATTTAACACTTGCTATACGCCAGATGCTGAGCTCAGAGCTTTTGTATTTTGCATCTTATCTGCTTCTACCTCAGCTCTTTGAACAGATTCTCCTTCTCTGCATTTCACCCATGAGAAGATGTAGGCAAGAAGAGATTAAAAGTAGATCACGGCCACACGCCTAGCATGCACCAGCAGAGGGGCTCAGCTTGGGCTCCGTGACATCAGCCTCCACATTGTCTAGCTGTCTGCGCTCTGAGACCCCAGGACAAGTCCCAGTATAGGCTCGTTTCTGCACGCTTTGAGAACAGAATAGGTCTTCCTATCTGGCCACTTAGGAAGGAATTTAGTGGGAAACTGGGTGAGATGGCCTTCAGGGACTTTAATACAAACGAGCATTACCTAAAAGCCATTTCTTCCCCAAATTGCCATTTTGCCGGCGGGAGGGGGGAGTCTCAGTGATTTTCCTTGGATGGTCAACTCCCAGCAGACCCAGGCCTCTCACATACAACCCTCCAGGCATCCAGAACCTCTTCCACTGAAAAGAATTGCTCTAATAAACAAGGCCTGGCCAGGCCTGGCCCGGTGACATCAGATTGCCATTCCGGAGTCACCTGCACCCAGAGACAAAGGTGGGCAGCTTCCCAGACCCGCCGCACATCACGGAATACGACAGACTGAACGCAAACACTCCCTTTGGTGAAATTATTTCACAAATCCTGCGCGAGCG